TTACTAATAATGAAGTTATTTTTTTCCAGAATGTTTTTCTAAAACAGCTTGCCATAGGATATCTGTAAAGCATGGAAGCCTAACACTTGTCCTTGCGGGCATAGCATCTCCTGACAGTCTAGAAAGTTCTCCCTGCTGGTCTAGTAATGTAAATGTTGAGCTCCTGAGTATAGTGTGTGTGACCTGTCTGTCAGTATAGGAGCCTAGCAGAGCTGCGCCTTCCTGAAGTGTGCGTGCCCTAGCAAGCCTGACTGAATTTTTCACATTCTCCTTTATTCTCCTCCATTCTTTTTAATGGGATTTTATCTGGCGCTTATCACTAGCTAAGCCGTTTGCTGTGGTGTTGCCTGGCAGGGATGTTGGGAACAGAAAATTCAGTCACTCCTGACCTTTAAGTGTTTTTAATTAGAGAACGACAGGAAAGTACTCTGGTCTGTACACAGGATCTCTGGCTTTAATTGATGTAATTACTGTGATTATCACATATTTGCAGTGCCTGGCTACTAATTCTGAAATTTGTGTGAGCTCAAGTCATTAGGGGTGTGTGTGTTGGTGTGTGCATGCATGAACGCACGTGTGTGAAGTTTAATGTGTTTATTCACGGCATGCATGTGTGCAGACATGTTAAAACCTGAGGGATTGTCATGGTCTGTAGTGTCTGAAGGTGAAATGGACTGGAACGAGGCAGGTATATCTGCAGGTATATCTGTTACACAGGCTCATATCTACCTGCCTACCTCATATGAGAAGTCTTCTTCATCGTAAGAGTGCACTGTTGAATGTTTGTTCCTAGTTTCACTGGAGGTTGTGTAAAACTCAGCTGGCCACAAGCTTAGACCTGGACTCATAAACTCTCACACACAGTCACTTTGAGGTCACAACCTTCTCCCACTGTGTCATCATACCGCTTTGTTATCCTCTCCTTTAAGAGTCTGTAGGACCTGGCTGGCCTGGCAGACAGTAGCAGATGGAACACTCACAGCAGCGAAGAATGTCTGTCTGTCTGTCTGTTCATGGCTCTCTCAAAACAACAGAGGCATGTTAGGGCAAAGTCAGCTGTGTTTGTGTGCACCATATGAAGTCTACCTGTGTCAGAATGTATCAGCGCCACCTTGATAACTGTTAGATCCTGGGTAACAGGCGAGAACTCATTCTGATGATTTCCCTCTCGCCTAATCTGACTTGTTAAATAGACTCTGTTACTGGTTGAATAATCATGTAATTGACTTAATTCCTAAAAGACTAATACCTAGCCTTCAGAAAGTATTCATAGCCCTTGACTTATTCCACATTTTGTTGTGTTACTGCCTGAATTCAAAATGGATTAAATATTTTTTTTTCTCACCCACCTACACACAATACCCCATGATGACAAAGTGAAAACATGTTTTTAGAAATGTTAGCAAATTTATTGATAATGAAATACAGAAATATCTCATTTATATAAGTATTCACACCCCTGAGTCAATACTTTGTAGAACCATTTACCAATAGGGGCCCTTTGCGAGGCATTGGAAAACCTACCTGGTCCTGGTTGAAGTTGTGTTTGAAATTCACTACTCCACTGAGGGACCTTACAGATAATTGTATGTGTCGGGGACAGAGATGAGGTAGTCATTCACAAATCATGTTAAACACTTATTGCCGGTGTAGGCCGTCATTGTAAATAAGAATTTGTTCTTAACTGACTTGCCTAGTTAAATAAAGGTAAATAAAAAATAAAATAAAAGAGTGAGTCCATGCAACTTATTATGTGACTTCAGCTAATTTTTACTCCTGAGCTTATTTAGGCTTGCCATAACAAAGGGGTTGAATACTTATTGACTCAAGACATTTCAGCTTTTCATTTGTAATTAATTTCTAAACATTTCTAAAAACATAATTCCACTTTGACATTATGGGGTATTGTGTGTAGGCCAGTGACAAAAAAAATCTTGATTTAATCCATTTTAAATTCAGGCTGTAACACAACAAAATGTGGAAAAAGTCAAGGGGTATGAATACTTTCTGAAGGCACTGTACCATTAGTCTGCATTATCGACTTTAGCTGTAACTGTAATGCAAAGGGACATAGCTAAATGCTCAGCATTGTTCTCTACATTAAATTGTGTCAAATGTTGTGTACATTCATAATAACACAATCTCACATGTTATTTGTTTTTCATTGAGTCTGTAAGCTGATCTTTGATGTCAGAGCATTAAGCTGTTGGGTATCATACATATTAGATTGGGTATCGGCACTGAATTCCCTGGAGTAAACATCAGTTTGGGGGCTCACAGGATCAACCCCCCTCTTAAATCCTACTGATGTTCTATTAGACTCCAGTGACAGATGGGGTATTACTGTGATTTAATATGAACTGAATTACAATAGGCTCAAACGAGGCTGTGGGACCCCATCATCAGACCCCTCCAAATGCTGTGTCTGTCTGTCTGTGTTTATGTTAGGACTATTTCCTATCTCTGTTTCACTGGTGTATTCATCTTTTAAATCTATTTGTGATCGTGGCTGTACCTACATTTTTCCATTTCCTCCTCCTGTTCCTGTTTTGTCCCGGTCTACAAAGGGCTCATTTCTCTCTTATCCATGAATGACAATGTCATGTTGATAAAATCATAATCAAACAACCAATCTATGCAAAATATGCTGGTACAGCACAGACAGAGCCACTGATGGTCCATGTGATTAATGTTGCTTAAGAAAGTTCCATTCATCCTGGTGAGATACCTGGAGCACTGTGCAAAGGTCTGAGTCATACAGCATGACGATAACATGGAAATGTTTTCTGTTTGATCAGATGTTATACATTCCTTGTCATGTTTGCTCACTGCACAAGGAGGTAAATATACTATTTTCCCAGGAGGAGATTGAGGTTTGTACATTGCAGTAGTACACATCTTCAGACATACCCCTCGGGGAAGTAAGGAGTGTCAGTTGCAGATTTGCTAAAGGGATGTAAAGTAGTAAGAGATATTAGCTCTCCACAAAATTCTTGCCAGCAGTAAATCGCAGGGAATGATGTATTCAGTTTATTACTTCAGTCCAGTTAGATCCCATTGACCGTGTTGATAGATAGAAGTAATTAGGTACATGATTTCATTGTGTAACATGTATTCTATTGTGTATTCTCTCCCAACAGGATTGATCTTGTTTGATAACTAAAACCTTCATATTGTCTAGCTCCTTTACTCCACCTTGTGGTCAGACTTCAAAAGGAACTCGTTCTTTAAGGATTCCTAGATCTCCTGATCTCCTCTGTCAGTTAGACCAGAGTAGTTTTCAGAAATAGCACATGAGCTAGTCAGTATGATAAATGGCTGCTTCAAGCAGATAACAGCTTCAACTGTCCAACCACTTTTCCCCTTTCCCTTTGTGTGTGTCTGATCCCAGCATGGTTGGTGTCATAATCACATTCTGACCAATCCAGGGTCAGAATGTCCACAAACAAGGAGCAGTGGGGATCAGTTGCCTGGGTATGAGGAGGGAGGTGTTTGCTCGAGGGATGTGCAGAATTAGGCTGCTGGGATTAGTGTCTGAGCTCTCATTGTCTAGTGATGGAAGTGGAACCACTAGAATTGGGGAATAACAACAACAACATCAGCAGCAACAACATCAAGCAAGATATTTTCTACCCTGATTCACTGAATTATTTTGTCTGTATCGGATGTTGATCTACCCTGCATTTTTCTTTCTACTCACTGGGATAGTTTTTAATTCCTGTCTTTTTTCTAAGGATAAGATCTGTTTTTCTAAATTTAGGGGGATTATATTACCATGGTATCTCAGTAGCCATGGTGGTGCTTTTGACTCAGAATGTTTACTGTCTGCCAGTGCCTTTGCTTTTCAAGAGGAAAGGTGAGTTACAGTATAGGCTCAATAAATGGGCTGAGTCCTGGACATTCTCAGACAGTGTTTTCATTTATGATACATACCTTGAATTCCCTTCTTGAAGTTTTATGGTCAAGCGAGTGTTCCTTCTTTAGATGATACGGGCAGGGTGGGTTAACTGGTTCAATTGATATGAGTAAGAGTGAATTAATTAGTGAATACCTGTTGTCATGAAATGTGTCAAACTGTTTGCTATTGGTGTGATACAGAGGTATGGCAAGCCCTGAAGAACCATTCTAAACAATCTCCCCTTATGATGTTAAAATGTTGTCTAAATGTCTTTTGGTGACTGTCTGTCACTGAGAGCTTGTATTTACTTACTTTTCTGGGATACTGTAAATGTGTCTGAAAAACACGTAATTCATCAATCTTTCTGACTGAATGTACAGTTTGTGTGAACTTGCTATTGTTAGGAGGATAACATTAAAAGTGGTCAAAGAGGGTGTATTTCCAGGGTGAACAGCCAGAGATGGTGCTTTATAGCAGGGATCACTCAGAGCACATGGTCGACAGGACTAATTCCAGCATGGTCTTCCTAGCCCCACAGAACATGTACAGAACATGGCTAAATATAAAGCAGCTTTGATTAACTAAAGATTGCAGGCTTACCACATGGCCACGGCTGCCCCACACTCTCAGCATTACTTAACGGGTTATCACCTCACTGATCCTAGATCTGTTCAGGACTGCTGTCCTGGAGTGGCACTACCCTGCTACTGTCCTCATGATAACCCTATGACACTGCTACTCTGGATTATATGAGAGTAGTACTGTTTGGGGAATATACTGGCTGGTTATGTCAATGAAGCCTGCTGGGACTTGTGGTTCATGTAGTTGATGAACACAATTTGAATGTTGAGGCCAATTTATCAACTCTTGATTTTTATTGCACATAGCAGCCATTTTATAGTGATCTATATAAAGATTAGATTACTTGTTATGGAACAGGATTGATGAGAAGTGATTTATATCAGTTCACATTCCACCTTTTGTGGATATAATATCAAATGTATTTTGGTACAATGTAGTTTTGTCAATTATATTGTGCATTTCTTTACACATTTCTTTATTGTGCATTGTATATCCACTGACATTCTATCTCTTTCTCCTCCCAGCAGTCCCAAAGCAGGAGGATGAGGGGACTCACGTCCCTTCACACGTCCAGGAGAATGTGTTCATCGAGGGCAGCCGGCCCAAGTACCTGGAGGACCTGCACACTGAGGCCCAGGAGGGACTCAAACTGCTGCAGCAAGAAGGTACTAAAGCCCCCTTCAAATACTCACACTTACTCCAACACCTACCCCTGATAAGATTAACTCATTAGGTGAAGTTACTGTGTGGTACTGTATTTGAAAGGTTTTGACCTTTATTTCAGAAACCGATAATGGGGTGGATTACCAGGATGACCAAAGCATTACTGTAAGTTTCATACACGGTGCTACATCAAATCACTAAACATTGTCCTATTCAGTGGTGTAAAGTACTTAAGTAAAAATACTTTCAAGTACTACTTAAGTAGTTTTTTTTGGTATCTGTACTTTACTTTACTAATTTTATTTTTCAGAACTTTTACTTTTACTTCACTATATTCCTAAAGAAAATAATGTACTTTTTACTCTATACATTTTCCCTGACACCCAAAAGTACTCGTTACATTTTGAATGCTTAGCAGGACAGGAATATTGTCTAATTCACACACTTATCAAGAGAACATCCTTGGTCATCTACTGCCTCTGATCTGGCGGACTCAATAAACACAAATGCTTTGTTTGTAAATGATGTCTGAGTGTTGGAGTGTGCCCCTGGCTATCCGTAAATTTAAAAAACAAGAAAATGGTGCCGTCCGGTTTGCTTAATGTAAGGATTTTGAAATTATTTATACTTTTACTTTTGATACTTAAGTACATTTTATCAATTACATTTACTTTTGATACTAAAGTATATTTAAAACCAAATACTTTTAGACTTTTACTCAAGTAGTATTTTACTGGGTGACTTTCACTTTTACTTGCGTCATTTTCTATTAACATATGACAATACTCAAGTATGACAATTGGGTACTTTTTCCACCACTGGTCCTATCACAAATTCACACCAAACCTGCTTTTAATTAAGCGTATACTAATAATTTACTTTTGAATTTTCTGTGATTCCTACAGTCGACGGTGACCCGGCAGCCTGACGAGACTGAGAGTGACAGTTACAGAGAGAGGAGGGGCTCTTTGTCAGACAGCACCATACTAGACACTGTGTCCCAGGTCTCAACGCGCTCTGCTGTCTCCACACGGTCCTCACGGTCAGGACTGACCCGCCAAGGTAACATGACATGACCATAACCAGAAAACGATTCATACTGGAACCACTATAAAACCTTTTCCAACCAGTGATTGTTTGATTTTCTTTGATGTCTTCAATGTGTTTTAGAGTAAACACTTATGGAGTGAAAGCGGCTGTTGTTTGTTTTGTTAATTTTGACCTAATATTTCTCTCCTGCTTTTTGTCTCGTTCCCCCAGCATCAACCTTCAGGCCTCTGAAGTCAGAGAAGAAGCCAGAGAAGGCCAAGGCCAGGAGGAGACACAGGAGAACCACAGTTATGGGGATACCACAACACGTCCAGAGGGAACTGGGTACGCTACTCATTATTTATGCTCTAAAGTAATTGAAATGTCAATATAGACCATTGTGAAGATACCTGTTGATAATTTCACCCTTAATACAAGCACATCATCTTTTATTTGCTTGTGTAGCTGTATATTTTAATTTGTCCTGTTGTTCCTCACTAAAGGGCTGGATAGAGCATCATGGGCAGCTCGTCAGGTTATAGACGATGACGGGCTCCCTAACGGGGAGAGCCTGAACATCCACACCATCGATGGGCCTCACCTAGCTGGTTCCCAGGAGGGGGTGAGGATCTATCTCCAGTCTGTAGAAGGCCTGCAGCCCGTCAGTGAGGACCAGGTTCAGCAGTTCCCCTCCCGGGCCGGTCACACGGATGACCTGGCTCTCCTCCAGCGCATGGGTCCCCAGCTGTACGGTCTGAAGAGGCCCAAGTCCCTGGCCGTCCCCTGGATGACCACAGCGTTCGGCCTGCTGCACCATCCCCCCAGCCCTGTCATGTCCATGTCCCCCCAGGCCACCTACATGTCTAAGATCATCCCCAATGCTGTGCTGCCACCCTCCATCGACGTGGTGGAGATTAGCCGTAACCGCAGCCGGAGCAGTGTCCGTACCGTCAGTAAGAGCAGACTGCTGCTGGCCAGCCCTGCCTCCTCCAGAGCCTCCTCCCGCGCCTCCACCATGTCCTCCGCCTCACGATACAACCCACCACACTTCTCTGACAGCTCTAGATGGAGCCACTCTGAGTCCTCTGAGACCCTGGTGTCTGACACCTCCACCATCTCCTCCAACAGCACCACCAGACAGGGGGGCTCACAGGAGGGGGATGGGGAGGGCTCATCCAAGGAGACAGCCCTGGACAGAGAGAGTATCCTCTCCTCTGTCAGTAAGGCCTCCAGGACCTCAGCCACCAATGGCAAGGGGAAAGCCAGAGGGGATGATGGCAAACAGGAGGGGCCCTTCATCCGGAGCCTATCTGTGATGAAGTCCAAGAGGGCACCGGCCCCACCCAGCCGCTCCTACTCCTTACACAAGGACAAGATGAAGCGGCGCTCACGGGACCTGACTGACATCAGGGTTGCTGCCCCTCCCCAAAGCAGCCCAGTCCATGGTGGGGAGGCTAAGGCTGTCAGTGCTTGGGAGACCGGCTCTTCTCCCATGCCCTCCAGTAACAAAAGTAGCCCTGGCTACACAGCAGACACCAGCTCTCTGGATGAGTCCTCTGGCTCTGTGACCACCAACTCCTTCACCACACCACAGCAGGCAGCCAGGGAAGAGGAGAGGAACGAACAGCCAGGCTCCACAGGCTCCTCTCCACAGAAACAGACCCCCCAGGAAAACGTCCTGAAGAAGACTGTTTCCCCCTCCAGCGGCTACCCCAGCCAGGGTGGCACGCCCACCCTCCCCTACAAACAGACCCATAACTCATCCCCAGGAAACAAGAGAGGCATCCTGGCCGAACTAGCAAGCATCTTCCCCAGGGCACCATCCCCGGCAGCCTCAGCCCCATCACCTGTTATTCAGCCACAGGCCTCTGACAGCATCAAGACACCTCAGCCATCCTCTCCAGTCGACACTGTAACTCCCTTACCTTCAGTCGTGGCACTCAGAGAGCTGTTCAACATCCCGCCCCCACCCAAAGTGTGTGCCCCCCCTCCTCCTCCCCCGGAGGTATGGGCACAAAACAAGCGCACTTTTGAGCTGCTGCTAGGTCCCCCGGCCCCCAACAACACGGATACGGTGGTGCGAAAGAACCCAAAGGATCGACGACAGCAAAGGCAGTCTCCTTCCACATCAAGAGAGGGTTCTGTTAAGAACTTGTCACCTAAGAGGAGAGGTGAGGAGTCCGCATCAGAGGCAGGAGGTTTGCCAGAGAGGGTCACTGAGCCTAAGGCTAAAGAGCAGACCGGTAATCCAGCAGCACTAACGTCTGTGTCAGGAAAGGGTCAGGCGAGTCCAAAGGTCCAAGAAAAAGATGGGTTGAGTCCAGTGGTTATAGAAGAGGGAGATAAAGGACCGGCTCAAATAGAGCCTTCTGAAGGTATGAAAGGGAATAGTGAAGTGGCACAGAAAGTTGAACAAGAGAGGGTCCAAGGAAGTCATTTGGAAGTTGAAGAGAAGGTACAGAGAAGTCAGTTGGTGGTTGAACCCGAGAAGGTCAAGGTAAGTCAGTTGATAGGTAAACTAGAGAAGGTCCAGGCAAGTCGGTTGGTAAATGGAAAGTCAATGAATGCTCCAGGAAAGGGCCTAGGAAAAGTAAAGACAGAAATACAGACTCCTGCTACAGAGAAAAGGACTGAATCTCAACCTAAAATGGACACGTTGTCTATGCTTAGCCATGCTCTAGCACGCGTCTCTCCATCTCCTTCTCATCTCCCAGCACACTATCCTCCCCTTCCCCCTTCCAAACAGACCCAGCCAGTGGCCCCACTTGGGGTCTCCTCAGACTCTACACTGGCTCCAGAGCTCCTGTTAGTCTACCCCACTGGGGAATCCTTCTGGCCTCCTCCCCCACCTCCCATGGATTTGGCCACCCTTGGCGATGAGCTTGACCTCCCCCTTCCCCCACCACCCAGTAGTTGTGAGGAGGGGGTAGTTATGACAGAACCTGTGCCCCCTGTTTCAGAGGGGACAGTGAGAGCTCCAAACCCTGCCCGACCTGCACCTCAAGAAGTTTCATCTGTACCACAGGGAATACCACAGCAGCCTAGTCCAGTGACCACAGAGCGCCAGAACCAAGAGAAGAAGTCCCTCAGCAAGAGCTCTCCCACTCCCCCAGTGGAGGCCCCCACTCCCGTGGTCACCCCCTCCCTTCTGCAGATGGTCAAGCTGAGGTCTGTCAATAATGGTGACCAGGTTCTGAAAAGGGACCAGAGTCAGGGACAGAACCAGACAGAGGTCACTTTGAGGGCCAAACAACCCAGTAATGGGGAGGCTCCCCAGAAGCCTATTCGAAGGTCTCTGATCATGACAGCTCTCCCTCCCACTGTCACATCCCCATCTACTACTGTTATCTCACAACTTCCCACAGCCTCAGCCCCAGAGGCAGCCCTAACCTCAGCCACAGTCCCAGAGACAGCCCAAGCCGCATCCCCAGAAACAGCCCCAGAGGCAGCTTTAGCCGCAGAGGTAGCCCAAGCTCCAGCTCTAGCCCCAACCTCAGCCCCAGCTCCAGCCCCAACCACAGCCCCAGCCCCAGCCAAGTTCCAGCCCAGCATAGTTAATTTCCCCTCAAAGTCATCTACTGTCACCTCTCCTACGAGTAAGTCTCCTCCTGCCTCAGCCACCACCCCTTCGATGAGGATGCAGGAGGCCATTCGCTTGAGGACAGCGGCCAGAAGTAAAGAGGGGCCTCCCTCTCATCTCAGCCTGCACTCCCCAACTTCACCAACAGGTTTCAAGTCCCCCTCATCTACCGCCAGTTTCATCTTCGCCAAGAGCACAAAGAAGGTTGTCATAGAGACCCTCTCAACCCCTGAGGCCCAGGCCAATCTCACAAAGAACTTGGTGGCTGAGCTTTCATCTGTGTCCAATCCAGCCAAGTCCACAGACACACAGAAGGAGGTGGCAGTCAAGGTGCCGCCACCTGTGGCAAGGAAACCCAAGCCTAAGGTCACAGATGCAGAGCCCAGTGTGGAGACTGAGCATGTGCAAACTGCAGGACAGGAAGCACAGCCAGCAGACAACACTGAGGGTAAGGGATCTGTGATTGTGACACAACCATACTTGCCTCCTTTGTTACAGCTATTGTCCATTCACAATTCATGTTGATCTTTCTCTCCTGTCAAAGCAGAGGCTCCAAACGGGACAGCAGTCAGTGTTGAAGTGCCACCATCATCATCCACATGAGCAACACTGCCACTTGGCAAGGACTAATCATTCACAAAGACAGACTGACTTTTACCTGTAAATTGAGAAGACCCTATGTGTCAAGCACCATATGTCAATCACAATATGCAAGAGGGAGAGAAATGGATCAAGGAGTGAGCGGATGAGAAATACAGAGCCTTCTGAAGACAAGGCAACTGGACATAGCTAAATGTAGCCCTCTCACATAAGAACTCTTTCTAAAAAATATAAATAAAAAATCCTTTGAGTTTATATGAAAATGGTGTTGGTCTTTCATTTCTCTAATACTATTTGTATTGTAGAGTATTTTGCATCGCCAGAGGGACTTTTTACTGGTCGGATTAACAATAGACAGCCATGGACAGCATGCTGGTCTAGGTACAAGTCTAGGTTGCCCTCTAGGGTCAACTATGGAATGTTACAGCTACTGCCATTTGGTACACTGAACAATGAGGAATTTAATAATCCACTTGTCTGGATTATATACCAGAATGTTGTATTTTTTATATATTCATATCATTATAAAATCATGCACTATTAAATCGTGTTAAGTTCCCATGTCATCCTTCTTCATATGTTTGTTGCATTAAAAGCATTATTTACCTAAGATCTTTTTCCTGTATACATCTTCCATTACATTTTGGGTGAAATATATGATGAAGTCATCTGATGTCATCAAAACTGGAGGATGTCACTTGTTCTAGAATGTTGTAGTGAGGATGAGAATCATATTCATGATGAGAATCCTAATTTACATGTTCATGTTTTGTTTCTCTGTTGTTGATATATGAATATACATAGACTTGTACTGGAAGCTCTCCCTGTGTGTAAATCAAATCTCACAGGTTTAATCTGAAGCACAATTTATGAACTGAAGTCTTTCACTTGGAGTATTGGGGCAAATAAGTATTTGTCTTGTTTTTAATTACTTGTCCCTCAGATTTAGATCATTTTCCTTTCAACCGGATGGGAGCTACATTATACATTGCATTTATGTTGCTAAATTGTCTAGAAATTGCGATATTCTTCAACTGAATGAAATCTGCTTTGGAAGTACTAAATATTATTCAAAGTAATTTCGGTGATAAATGATTATGACAAATGACAAGTATAGTTTCACTTATTTCAATATAACAGAATAAATTGATTTATTCACAATGAATGAATATAGCCATATCATTATTTCTACCCTGTTTCTGAAACCTTTTGAGAAAAGTTCTGTCCATTTTTTCATCAGTTAGATCCATTTATGTGACAAACACACACACACACACAAACACACTTCCTGCTCTCAGGTTTCCCCCAGGTTTGTACCTTTTCCGTCTTATCAGGATGTTGAAACCTCACGTTCACAGGTCTGGTTTTCCAGTGTCCATCTTAGACACATCTGTATGTTGACAGTCATAACTAAGACTAAGGGATTGCATTTATGTGAGTGGATGGGTCTCTGTTGGGGCTAAAAATGAAATAACTTAATATGAATTGGGGTGGATCTTGATTTACAATGACAAATGAATAAGCAGGTCATAGAAGATACTAGAATAACTACTGCCTTGTATCAAGGAATGTTGTGAAAAGCAACTTCAAAGTTTCTTTGCCAACGTCCTTGCATCACTGACGTTGTGCGTCATTTGGCGGACTCTAGTTTCTGTCACAGGCTTTCACCTCATTGAGAGGGAAGCCTGGGAGCCAGGGCTAGGTGGAGTCTTAAGTAACAAAGAGTTACAGTAAGTGCATGGAGTATCAGTAGGTTATTCATTCCTCAGCATAAACTGTAAAACACCAGTACCTGGACTGCTGCTAATTCACTGAAGGACTTATTTGATTGTGTAGCATTGCTGGTTGAATACAGTAAACTCGGTCATGAGCTGGAAATCATGTGTTACTCAAAGGTTTTTTGTTTCTCCCCAGTTATTTAAGACAGTGGTTCCCAAATGTTTTGCTTCATGACCCACCAATTTAAGTGTCTGTTGAGTCGTGACCCACCATAAATGGTTGAGCGGTGAAAAAAACATATCCAGACCATAGAATAAGTATAGAAAATGTATTAATAAAACCCTCTTCAAAACATTACTGAATGTAGATTTGAGTATGGATTCTAGAGACCATTAAAAAATATATATATATATATATATATAAAACTGCACAAATGTAATCCCGCAGTTTGGGAACCACTGATTTAAGACTTCCTACTCTGGTAAGACACACTTCAATGGTACTCCTGGTTTTTACTATCAATGGTGTCCCTGTCTCTATAGTTGAATTTGAGATATACAGTATTACGTTATTTTGTTATGGGTCAACACATCAGTAGTGCCAATAATTTACCATATGAATAATCAATTGTTTACCAGTTAAAACCCACAGTCTTTCTCAAACATTAAATGTGTGTTGAATTTACCACTATCCAGAGTGGTTAGTAAAACTGTTTGTGTCCCTGTGTCTGTAGATACATTTGACACAGGAGGTTGGTGGCATCTTAATTGAGCCGTCCTCCCCTCAGCAGCCTCCACTGGTTTCAGATCTCTGTTCCCGGTGTGTCCAAGCTTGCCATCATGGTGAAGATGTAGTCCTAGACTGCAGCTTCCCTGATTGACTGGAGGATAGGCGATGAGATTGTCCACCTTTTCTACGACAGACAAGACCAACTAAAAGACCAAAGCGGTTGCTTTGCCAACAGAACAAGCCTATACCTTTCTAAGATAGAAAAGGGGAATACCTTTCTCTCTCCTTGCTTAAAAGCATTGCTTACATATATTTTTTAAGCATGCAAGACAAGCACTTTGCATAACTGTAATGATTTTATCCTGTGAACAAACATGTTACTGCCTGTGACCCACTCTCCGAGGGTATCTCAGGGGGTTGGGACATGCAAAACACACATCACACTCCTACAGGTTACCTAGCCACTTGTTCATTGTACTGCCTAAAGACAACAAAGAGAGAAAGAGGTGGCCCATTGTTCTTCCAATAGTGACAGTTGTACTGCTGTTATTCATACTATTAATGTCAACACTGAGGAAAAAATGCTTTGGACCATCACAAAGGGTAGAAAAGGAGACAAATTAATGAATGGATTAAGGAATGGAGGTACTGAGCCCATATGACTTTTGATACAGTGTTCCCAATTATGCCTCTAGTATTTTTACGACTGAGTTCCTGACTTCATAGTTTATCTCTCTCTCTCTCTCATATTTTTATACAGTAATCTTTTTTTACACAAAGCTGTATGTTTTTAATATCCATTTTAGACACATCTGTGAGTTTGACTCAGCATTCCTAAAGCAGATTATAAAATGGTTGGTTCGAGCCCTGAATGCTGATTGGCTGAAAGCGGTGGTATATCAGAACGTATACCAGGGTTATGAAAAAATATGTATTTTTACTATTCTAATTACGTTGGTAACCAGTTTATAATAGCAATAAGGCACCTCTGGGGTTTGTGGTATGTGGCCAATATAACACAGCCCTTAGCTGTGGTATATTGACCGTATACCACACCTCCTCGGGCCTTATTGCTTAAATATTACATTGATTTTGACAGTGTTGTATGTCAGTATGCTGAATGTCAATCAGCCCATGCTGTTATTTTTCCACTTGCTCTTAGTGGGATCTGAATGGGATATATATTATTAGGATGTATTTTTTATTGGTACGTGGGCATACAAAAGGGGTGTTTTGCCCCTGATTTAGTGGGGCAACGCTCCTCTATGTTGAGTGACAAGGCCAGAGGTTTATTGTTAGGAAACTCTCCGAGCAGAGGCAGAAACAAAGGAAACATGCTCAGACATGAATGTGTATGTCTGCAGAAGGGCGACCTTGAGAAATAAGGGATTGGAATGGATTCATGCGAGTGGATTGATCTCTGTCGGGGGCTAAAAACTAAATTCCTTTATACGATCAAAACAGAATGAATCTGGATTTATAATGATAACTGAATAGACAATTCATACAAGAAACTACTGCCTGCTATGTGCCCGAGTTTCATGGAATGGCATGGAGCCAGTGCAAACATGGGCGGAGTCACAGTGAGAAAAGTACAGTAGATTGAGATGATCAGTAGTTCATTCATTCTTCAAAATACATTGCAAGACACCAGTGCCTGGACTGCTGCTGATTAATTGAAGGACTTACTTGAATTTGGCAAATACTGATTGAATACAGTAAACTCTGTCATGAGTTGGAAATCCTGGGTCACTCAAATATGTTTTGTTTCAATCCTGTTCTTCAAGGGATCTTATTCTGGTAAAACCCATTTCTATGGTACCTTATTTTACTGTCAATGGTATGTAACTACTTAAATGTAAGGAGTAATGTGTATCTGATCAAAAGTGTCACTGTAATCATGATCTCTTAGATGGGGTAGTGAGACTGTCTGTGTCCCTGTCTGTCTATAGTTAAATTTGAGATCAAGGTTCCCAGTGAGCCCCAGCTTGCCATCGTGGGGCAGCATGTGGTACTAGACTGCAGTTTTTCTGTGGGAAAGGTCTGGGACCTGGGCAGCAGTGTGATCACGTGGCAGAGAGGCCTGGAGGTGATCCACAGCTTCTACCACGGTCAGGACCAACTGGACAGACAGAACAGTCATTATGCCAACAGAACCAGCCTGTACCACTCAGAGATGAAGAGGGGTAATGCCTCTCTCAGGCTGGACCATACCAACCTGGGGGACAAAGGAGACTATACCTGCTCTGTGAGCACAATGCTGGGCAGTCAGAAGAAGACCTTTCCCCTGAAATTAGCAGGTGTGATACCATATTGAACATTATTTTCCGCTTTGTGGACTGAAAATGACTGATGTCCTAGAAAAGCACTGTTCTTTGTCACACTAATTAGGGTTCCTTGTGATGTACAATGCTTACTGAGATACTGTATATTCTTTCATGCCATTAAACGGTGTCCATGGCCTCTCATTTCAGCATACTACCCTGAGCCACAGCTGAAGTTCACAGCATCTCCAAGCGATATGGAGCTAGTCTTGACCTCACAGGGAGGGTACCCCCGACCCTCGGTGCAGTGGCTGGATGACAGCGGTGATGATGTCACTAATAAAACAGTCATACATCTTTTAGAGGACACACATGGACTATACTCTGTCTTCAGTACACTGACCCTACATGGTCCAGTCAACGAGACCTTCACCTTCGTCCTGAAGAACAAAGACCTGGGACAGGAGATCATGAGAGAGATCACACTTCACTCAGGTATATAGACAATATCCTGGATTTGAAAAACCCTTAACATTGCCTCTCTACTGCATGAATGTCGAGATACAGAGATAAATATAGAGTTCAGTTGTTTAGACATACAGTATAATCGCAATGTTCAAACATTTTCTTCCCAGCAAATGAGAGGTCAGTGGAAAAAAGCCAAATTTCTGAAGACAACAGAAAGAGATGGACGGTTCTTGTTCCTATAGTGACATTTGTACTATTAATATCAGCACTGAGAAAAAAATGATGTGGGCCATCACAGAACCCAACACCTGTCTACCAAACGCCATCACTCATCATTTACTGTACTTCATAAGAGGAAAAGATAAATGTAGGACTATATAATGAATGGAGTCTATGATTTTTGACAGAGTATTTTCCCAAGGAGTTACTGCCATATTACTTTATAGTTTGCCATGTACATTTGGGTGGTACTTACAGTGGGGGGGAAAAAGTATGTAGTCAGCCACCAATTGTGCAAGTTCTCCCACTTAAAAAGATGAGAGAGGCCTGTAATTTTCATCATAGGTACACGTCAACTATGACAGACAAAATGAGAAAGAAAAATCCAGAAAATCACATTGTAGGATTTTTAATGAATTTATTTGCTAATTATGGTGGAAAATAAGTATTTGGTCAATAACAAAAGTTTCTCAATACTTTGTTATATATATACCCTTTGTATATACCCTTTGTTGGCAATGACACAGGTCAAACGTTTTCTGTAAGTCTTCACAAGGGTTTCACACACTGTTGCTGGTATTTTGGCCCATTCCTCCATGCAGATCTCCTCTAGAGCAGTGATGTTTTAGGGCTGTCGCTGGGCAACACAGACTTTCAACTCCCTCCAAAGATTTTCTATGGGGTTGAGATCTGGAGACTGGCTAGGCCACTCCAGGACCTTGAAATGCTTCTTACGAAGCCACTCCTTCGTTTCCCGGGCGGTGTGTTTGGGATCATTGTCATGCTGAAAGACCCAGCCACGTTTCATCTTCAATGCCCTTGCTGATGGAAGGAGGTTTTCACTCAAAATCTCACGATACGTGGCCCCATTCATTCTTTCCTTTACACGGATCAGTCGTCCTGGTCCCTTTGCAGAAAAACAGCCCCAAAGCATGATGTTTCCACCCCCATGCTTCACAGTAGGTATGGTGTTCTTTGGATGCAACTCAGCATTCTTTGTCCTCCAAACACGACGAGTTGAGTTTTTACCAAAAAGTTCTATTTTGGTTTCATCTGACCATATGACATTCTCCCAGTCCTCTTCTGGATCATCCAAATGCACTCTAGCAAACTTCAGATGGGCCTGGACATGTACTGGCTTAAGCAGGGGGACACGTCTGGCACTGCAGGATTTGAGTCCCTGGCGGCGTAGTGTGTTACTGATAGTAGGCTTTGTTACTTTGGTCCCAGCTCTCTGCAGGTCATTCACTAGGTCCCCCCGTGTGGTTCTGGGATTTTTGCTCACCGTTCTTGTGATCATTTTGACCCCACGGGGTGAGATCTCCCAGATCGAGGGAGATTATCAGTGGTCTTGTATGTCTTCCATTTCCTAATAATTGCTCCCACAGTTGATTTCTTCAAACCAAGCTGCTTACCTATTGCAGATTCAGTCTTCCCAGCCTGGTGCAGGTCTACAATTTTGTTTCTGGTGTCCTTTGACAGCTCTTTGGTCTTGGCCATAGTGGAGTTTGGAGTGTGACTGTTTGAGGTTGTGGACAGGTGTCTTTTATACTGATAACAAGTTCAAACAGGTGCCATTAATACAGGTAACGAGTGGAGGACAGAGGCGCCTCTTAAAGAAGAAGTTACAGGTCTGTGAGAGCCAGAAATCTTGCTTGTTTGTTTGTAGGTGACCAAATATTTGTTTTCCACCATAATTTGCAAATAAATTCAGAAAAAATCCTACAATGTGATTTTCTGGAGAAAGAAAATCTCAATTTGCCTGTCATAGTTGACGTGTACCTATGATGAAAATTACAGGCCTCTCATCTTTTTAAGTGGGAGAACTTGCACAATTGGTGGCTGGCTAAATACTTTTTTTCCCCACTGTAAGTTTCTTCTCAGATACAGAAATGTGCCAATGTTTGTAGTTTTGTTTATTTATCAGAGAAAGAGACAAAAAACAGCTAATCCATGATGCAATGGATCATGGATTAGCTGGGTCTGTCTGTAGGTTGTTGAAACTGAACGATAAATTATGGCAAGTTTCACCGACTATAATGAGCATTGTAATGGTGGTTGAACTGAAACTGCTGGTAGAGCAGTAACAGCGGCATCGAGATCATGCTTATGAAAGTCACAAAAAAGTATCACTAACAAATATTCAAAAGTATCAATCATGTATTATGTTAATTTATGAGTTTAACATCTGCCTTAGTGGATGTACACTACATAGGTCATGATATACTGAGAACAGTACAGTAATGGTATGACTCACTTCAGACAAACTGTCTCCACATGTTAATGGTACGTAACAAAGGTTACACATAGCTTTATGTGCGTGTATAGTGCATACATACCAGCCAGTTTGTTAGATCAATCAAGGTGAGGCAATGCAGTGGGTGTGATCTGGAACGTTGTAAACCAAAGGTTCTCAGTCATAGTGACAGGGAAACCTCAACTTCCTTTAGAGCACTTATGAAGCACTTAGTGGAGATATTGTGTGGACTGCTTAGATACCAGTGGTTAGTTTGTTATCCCATGTTTATATTTTAAAATGACCCTAGTTAGCGTGCTCAGAGTGGTTGGAAAACAAATACGTTGCACTTATTAAATCATGTAGGATGTACAAACATTGTGGGGCCAATTTATTAATTGAATGTCTGACTGGGAAAACAATGGGTCTATTGATGCCATTACCTTATCAGTATTCTTCACCTACCATGATGTGTATTTCCTGCTTTGAGATAAGGACAAGGAAATTATTTGTAATTTTTGCTGAAAAGTCTACTTCCGCAATAAAAAATTTGAATTTGCAGTTAAACAAATCTTGTAGAAAGTCTTCCCATTCCATCGTATCTGGTGATAAATAAATTAAGAGTTGCATTGACTTTTTATTTCAATGTTTTTATTTCAAATGTGTCAGTGGTGTACCGTAGTAGAAGTCTATGGTTAAGATTAGAATGAACCACTGTATAGTCTCAGTCACTGACCTCATTGCCACTTGAAATGCCAAACACTGGGCAAGTTTTTCCCACAGTCAATCCCGGACTCTACCAGTCCATCATAATCACAAAGGATAACCTCCTCACCAGCCTCCGAGAAGAGTGGAAACTTGTCATCCTCATCTGTTCCCCCAGACTCCTCTCTACCTTCCTTCCCCTCATCCTCAGGAATCTCCAGTGGCTGCTCCTCACCCACCCTAAATCCCCATTCCTTCATGGACTGTGAAACACCCTCTTCCTGTGATACAGACTTTTCCCCCATCCCTGATCCCAGGGAGGAGGACTCCTCCTGTGGATGCATCCATTGCCTTTCAATGGAGCCCTCCTCGGTCAACACTGATCCCTCCCTTTCCCATGGACTCCTCTCTCTCAACTCTGCACCCTCTCCCCTTTTCAACTCTGAATCCCTCACACCTGACCCCTGTGTACGCTCAAATATCTTCCCCTTTCTAAACACTGTCTGAACCACCTCTGACTCCTCACCCTCCAACGGCACCGCTTCATCCTCCTCTATATGTTGCTTCTCCTTGGAATGAGTGTAGCTCTGCTCTTCCTTATCACGATACTTCTCCATATCAAAGGTTTCCAGTAGATCATCTGGGTTGTCAAACTCATCCATTCTGGTCTCAAACCAGACAACGTCTTCATCGACTAGTGAGGGACTGACTGGTGGGAAACCACCCTTCGGTGCGGACGGCTGATCTAAGAGCAGTAGAGGCCCGCTGTTGGCAAACCCTACAGGATATGGAAATCAACAGGGTTAGAAGTGTCATCACTACTGGAGGCCTCATAACTACCTCATCGTCACCATGGCCTATTTGAGCACAAGGGAGATGTCAGTGCTGTATACCCAAACAGAGTGATTATGGGTTGTTAGGTTGAGTCACTTACCCTCCACCATGGCTCTTCTGGGTTTGGGTGTCACACATTTGGAGTCACAGCAGTCACAGATGGAATCCTCTCCCATGACAGCTTTCCACCTACAGAACAGGTATCAAAGAGACTACTTACATTTGTCATTTAGCAGACGCTTTTATCCAGAGCGATTTACAGTTAATGCATTCATCTTAAGTTTTCTTGGTACGACGACAACCACATCTCAGACATAGTAAGTAAAACTTTTCCTCAATAAAGCAGCCATCTGCAAAGTCAGTAAGAAAAGGCAAGTGTTAGCGCAAGAAAGGTAGGTAGGGATGTAAAGGTCTTGAGTGCAAGGAGGAAGTTCAACAGCAGACTACATTTCCCACAGTGCAACATCTTAATTGTACCAGCATACCTGTTCTCGTGGTATGTGCAGGACTTGTGCATGGGGCCGGTTTCCTCTGATGTCACATGCAGTTTACAGTGAAGGAAGACCTAGAGGAGATAAAAGATTACCTCTGATACAGGAAATTGACAAATTCATGTCAATTTTTTTGCTCAAAGGCCGCAATTTGTTTGCTTCTTTACAATAAACAACCCTGTTTATTCGCATAAATGCAACAGAAAAGTCCAGTGATTGAGATTCAGTGATAGGGTACAAGTCTCCAATGCTCACCGGTGTGTCTGGGTCAGAGGTGAACTGGAAGGCGCTGAGGAAGAACCGGAGGGTGTCATCAGTCCTGGGGGAGACAAACTGAGAGCCACCAGGGTTCTTCTGGCTCTCCAGCATGCAACTGTGGATCAGAGAACAATGGGTTTGCACTCAGGTCAGCATAATGTGTGTAGGTTTACATTCCTCCTAACTGAGTCATTATCAGGTGCAACCCAAAGGAACCTCTGTTCGCCATGCATACATACCCAAAGTTGTCAATGACAGTGAACTTGAGGGCTGTCTTGGAGAGTTTAGATGTTGTGGCGTAGCAGTGGTTGATGAAAAGCTTTCCTCCATGGGGTAGGTGAAGTGCAGAAACCTGGAAATTAATGGTCTGTCCCAGCATGTACACCTGGTACTTGGCTGGCATGGCCCATGCATCTAAAAGACAAACAAAACACACATATTGCTGAATATGTCAAAACATTTCACAAGTGGTTTGTGTTGCATTAAAAATGATTATAAAAAATCTTTAACCACCCATAACCAACCAGAAAATGATCCTCACCGTCCATCAGCTGGATTCGGAAGTCATCAGTGCGCCCCTTTAGCCTTTTAAGCACCGTGGGTGTTTCCCATGTAGGGCGCACCGCCAGCTGATAAACATGATGATACCTGTGCAGAGGGAGGTGGTTTCTCGGGTTATAGTGATATCCACAATATAGTTGCATCATTAAATTATGAGGCGACTAACCTTTGAAACCGACACTCGACCTCCACGTTGATGCGATGCGCTCTGCGTGGGAACCGGGTCAGAGGCGTGTAATGGAGCACGAATTTATAGATGAGATAACCCGGTGGCATCTGTCAGTGAGCAGGTTCAAATGTTATCATTTCATACAAGCAAGAAAGTTAATGCCAACAACACTATCAGTTTAATCACCAACAATCTTACCTCGCGTTTGCCATCACACTCCATCAATGGATAAGAGAAGAGTAAGTCACCATAAGGCATGAGAACACCGTTACTCTTGCAGGTGCTTCCCAGGATCAACTCATCCGCGTCCGCATCAAAACCATAAAAATCCCGTTTGACACGGACCACGAAGTCACCACTTGAACACGTAACCGAAACGTCCGGGAGTGCACCAAAATCCCGTTGAGACTTTGGTATAGGCCTATCGAGAAGCATAAGGCGCTGGATCTGGGGTGGTGGAGAGGAATGGGTCCTTGCAAGCGCTGGTTTGGGTTCATGTGTGAGTTGGGATGTTCTGAATGAGATGCTGTGAGAGAGTATCGTCGGGCTTGATTTTCTGTTCGCTGTGGATGACAGGTGGGCTGTAAACGAGTCGCCGACGCCTTGTGATGTGCCTAGTTTGAGGATTTTTCTCCTGCCAACTGGACGTGAAAAAAACGTAGAGCCATAAATATCCGATGTAGATATTGCAATATTAAGTGAAAATACTCTCCATAAAATACAGAGCCACCACTTTATTTTCATCGCAAGAACTGTGATGTTTCGTTTTCCACCTTTCTGTAGACACGCGTGTCCTCTAAACGTAACACAGCTTGAGGTGATTTGTCATTAGGTAGGCTGAACTGTGACCATGTTCCAATAGGTAAGATATACACCCTTGCTTGAGTCCTTCCTTTCTTGATATAGGCCCAATCACTGATCTAACACGATTGTACCTGAAAGTATGAGTTCCATTACACTAATCCAGTCATGTGAGGTCAGTGATTATTGTAACGAATGATGGACGGAAGGATGCATCTTTCAAGTATTGAATGTGGGGGTCAGCCCTTTTAGGTAATTGAGTGCAATTAGCTGAGAAGAAAGGAATGTCTGAAATATTGGCATGTCTTGTCCCCATCCTACAAGAAGATGTGTAAGAAGATGCGTTTCAACTTTTGCAGAAAGGCAAAAGTTGTTTTGTCAGGGCAAGTGAAAGTATGTCTGTCAATATTTTCCCAAGAATGACTGAGTCTTTACATTTCAAACTCTGTTAGACATTTTTCATGAGTTACACCAATTTGTCAATTTATTAATGTACATATTTTTTAGCAGCTATCATCACAGTGCTGTAAACTTTATCCAACAGTTTCAAACATATTTACATACAATATATATACAAAACATGTACACCAAAACAGCACCATACTGGAGTGAGGAGCACACTGGAGAAGGACCTTAAAAACCTCTTAATGTAATCTAAAATGTAATCCCCAAAAGTAATTATTCATCATGCAAGGACCATAAACAATAACTAGTAATGTTGCATACTCCAAGAAAGGTTAAAATCTCAACTTTCTGGTCATAAAAAATAAATAAAAATGCTGAGGTATAGTCACTTTTGAGGACACAAGCTCAAGTACAATTTTGCTGAAAATATGACATTTCCTATTCAACAAAACTGTATGAATAAAGCTTGAAATGACTTATGCTTTATAAATACAGTATAATCAAATTATAAAGCCAATAGCTGTAAGATTTCACCTTCCTTATAACTGTAAAATACATATTTGTATGTTTAGTGTGAGAAAATGTGCATATTTTCTAAAGGTCTCTCTGCCCCCACAGCTGTGAACATCACACAGAGCTCTAGCTTGGCTTCCTGAACTCATTAGGAACGCGCCTTTCATCTCATATGTATCTTGTCCATCTATGACAGTGTGTTTGTTTAAAATCTATGAATTATTTTAGATTAATTGCTATAAATCGATCTCTGAATGTGCTATAGTGATGAAACCACTGTCTCCTGCTGCGCTACGATATAAGGATTGCAGGTATGTGCTTTGTCAGTGTTTGTGATGTAGGGTTCAGGCAGGAGTTGAACATTCAGAAGAGCGAATGAAATGCTAGGAGGGACATCCCAGCTTCAAGTGGTTTCAGATTTCACATCCTACGTCGCACAGGCTACTGTGTCCGTGGGAACCAGTGCTATCGCTCAATGCAAGCCATTTCGATCTACAGTGTCCACAGATCGATTTATAAGCTAAAATGTCCCAGAACCACGCAGGTCACCTAAATAGGGGATTTTACATCTAAGAGGTTATGTACCCATTGTAGGCTACTAGCCAAAGAAAATACTCTGTTTTTAGATATCTAGATACTGCTTAGGATTTGTCAAAGTTGTTCAATATTACAGTACTTGAGACATTCAAGAGTAAAAAAACATTTGTTCTTAATATTGATTTGTCTGATAAATAGAAAACTTGGCTTTGGTCTGATCAAAAAGATTCATACAAACATTAAAACTGATTGTTGGTCACACTGCACACAGCATAAGATCAGGACACAGCCTCAACTGACACATTATCTTTAGACAAGACTTCTAAATAAGGTAAACAAGTTAAAGATTTTTGAAATTCAAAATCAGCCTATCATGTGATGACAGTCACCTAATCATTCTGATGATCATACAACGAAACCCACAAACACACACACACGTTATATACTGTGTATATATATACACACACACACACATGCGCGCACACACAACTGTACAAAATGTGCACATCCATATTCAGATGAGTGTATATAGAATTTGATTAATCTGTAATGATTATTGCCAAATTAGTACTGTGTGCTTTCATCAAAACATAACTAGTTTTAATAGTTAGTGAAAATTCTGTGCTTTGGGCCAAGATGGCCTCTAAGATGTCCAAACATTAAGTTAGGCGTGAGATAAGTTGTTAACTTTAACAGAGATAGTCACTTGTTAGAAAGCCTCCCCACTAGCCTTTGGACTCGCCAAGAAAGACTCTGCTTTTTAAGGAAAGTCTTAGTATCGTGGGGGAGAAACAACTTTTACCAAATATAATTAAGTTAAAACTGTTATACAGAAAATCTCTTGCAACTACAAGGTTTACAAAGTACAACTGTACAAGACGTGCTGTTAAGCCAGTAATTATAAAAGGTAGAATTCAGCTAGCCTAAATATAGTAAGTCTGAAATCCAGACACATTATTGGCAATGTCAATGAGTTCATTAAGGTTAGAGTTTATTTTACAAGGTTCCTTTTATCTTTTCCCCATGAGACACAAATATAATTCCAGTGGATAAGATTGTAACAGTGCTCTCCACATCCCTAAAGAGGTGTATTATTCTCTTGAAATAAGTGAATATTATTTCAATACAAAAATAACCATAACCATATAAATCCAGTCTAGATGGAACAAGTTACTGATATGCCCTAAAAAATGAATGCTGAAATCTTCCCTCTATGAGGACCATCCTGCTGATTGGAAAGTCTTGTTTTAGTGCAGAGAAAGGCTGCTGATGGGTAAATGCCTGATAAAAAATCCCAAATGAATGTTTGTAATGTAAACAAACAGACAGATAAACCAGTACCACAAATCACATACATAGTACAGTAGGTACTCTACAGAGAGAGCGATAACTCAGAGTGTCCAATAGGGGTCTCTGTAAGCCTGTGGAATCCTGTGTTCTGTGGTTTCTCCTCCATAAATCCAGTTAAACCCAAAACACACAATCTTGGTCCAGCCTCCCCGGTGGCCTCATCACTCCAGCCTGCCAGTGCAAACACGCTGGGCAGTGGTGGCCTTTTGGTTGGTCGCCCTTCTCTCCCGGGGCTCCTATACAACGCTCCCAAGCTCTGTGGACTCTGTCTCGGAATCCTGATCGCTCTCCCTGTTTCAGAATGGGAACACAGCCGAGCGTTAGAAACAAAGGACTTGGCTTGTTCAAGAGGGTCCTTATTCATGGCAGAGCGGCTAAGGCTTAAAGTGTGTCCTTTGCATTTTGCTGAGGTATAGAGAAAGATGCCAGAAATGAGCTAAGTTTAGTGTCCCCCTGTGAAGAGATTGGTCACTGGATCTCTTAGCTTAACTTAGGAGGAAATAGTTTGGGTCCTGCATGAACCCTGTTCTATTACAATGAGTGTCTGGCTTAGATACCCCCAATCAGCCCTAATCGTGTGTGTGTGTGTGTTTGCTCTGACTCACCGCATCTCCTGCAGTAGTTTCCGGTTGCCTTGCCTCCTCTCCTCGTCAATGGGGTAGGTCTTGAATATAAACAGCCCCAGGAATATCAGAACAACAGGAACAGGAGAGACCAGCACCTTCAGGGTTAAATTCACAGCGTCGGGTTGCGAGCAGCCTCTGGTCACATAGCCGGCAAAGCTGCACAACAATTTCCAGGCAGAGAGAGAAGAGAAGAAAAAGGACAGTTTGATTATAAATGTGGATTATGTTATTGTTCACCACATGACTGGTCCGGTGAATCGAGGAAAATTAAGCTAGATAATCTTCAAAACGCAGTTATCCCACAGTAGAATTTAGGCCCTTTCTGAGAAAATACACACACACGTATGTGTACACCCCTTCAAATTAGTGGATTCGGCTATTTCAGCCACACCCGTCGCTGACAGGTGTATAAAATCGAGGACACAGCCATGCAATCTCCATAGACAAACATTGGCAGTAGAATGGCCTTACTGAAGAGCTCAGTGACTTTCAACATGGCAAGGTCATAGGATGCCACCTTTCCATCAAGTCAGTTCGTCAAATTTCTGCCCTGCTAGAGCTGCCCCGGTCGACTGTAAGTGCTGTTATTGTGAAGTGGAAACACCTAGGATCAACAACGACTCAGCCGTGAAGTGGTAGGTCACACAAGCTCCCAGACCGCAGAGTGCTGAAGCGCCTGTCCTCGGTTGCAACACTCACTACAGAGTGTTGCCTCTGGAAGCAACGTCAGCACAATAACTGTTTGTTGGGAGCTTTGTGAAATGGGTTTCCATGGCCGAACAGCCGTACACAAGCCTAAGATCACCATGCGCAATGCCAAGCGTTGACTGGAGTGGTGTAAAGCTCGCCGCCATTGGACTCTTGAGCAGTGGAAACAGGTTCTCTGGAGTGATGAATCACGCTTCACCATCTGGCAGTCCGACGGACGAATGGATAGTGCCAACTGTAAAGTTTGGTGGAGGAGGAATAATGGTCTGGGGCTGTTTTTCATGGTTCGGGCTAGTCCCAGTGAAGGGAAATCTTAACACTACAGCATACAATGACATTCTAGATGATTCTGTGCTTCCAACTTTGTGGCAACAGTTTGGGGAAGGCCCTTTCCTGTTTCAGCATGACAATGCCCCTGTGTACAAAGCGAGGTCCATACAGAAATGGTTTGTCGAGATCGGTGTGGAAGAACTTGACTTGCCTGCACAGAGCCCTGACCTCAACCCCATCAAACACCTTTGGGATGAATTGGAACACCGACTGCGAGCCAGGCCTAATCGCCCAACATCAGTGCCCGACCTCACTAATGCTCTTGTGGCTGAATGGAAGCAAGTCCCTGCAGCAATGTTCCATCATCTAGTGAAAAGCCTTCCCAGAAGAGTGGAGGCCGTTATAGCAGCAAAGGGGGGACCAACTCCATATTAATGGCCATGATTTTGGAATTAGATGTTCGAGGAGCAGGTGTCCACATACACTACATGACCAAAAGTTTCACTAAGCTGTTAGGAGTCCTGCAAAATACAGTTCGATTTCAAACTAAGCGCATTAAATTGTCAACATGCTACGTTTTTATAAAATCAGTTTATCATGTACAATACATGCAAGAGAGAAAAACAAACTCACTCTAGACTGAGAGTGGAGATGCCGAGGGATATTCCTGAGGCAAACTTGGTGAAGAAGACATAGAAGGAGTAGAAAATGGCCTCGTGGCCGCTAGAGTCTGGATTCTTCACTTTGAAATCATCCACCACATCTGGGAGCATTGACCTGAGAAACAGTGAACGATGTGAATGGATACCAAAAGTCAAGACACACCACAGACTGGACATAAGTAAAGAGACACTGGAGATAGAGATATTCTATAGGTTGCTATGGGTATACTGAGGTACATTCAGTAGTCTGCTTACCAAGGTAGGAGGAAAGCTGCAGCCACACTGACTCCCGCTGCCACAGAGACCACATAGGCCACAATGAGACTGCTCTCCATACAGACGATCAGGATCATGAAGGGCACTGCCCACTGCAGAGAGAGACACATAGGATAGACATGAGATGAGGCATGAGAGAGGGAGAGCTCCATAATACAGCACCTTTGAGATGAAACTCCACACCAACACACACTGCTCACCGTGATGCCAATGTAGACTGCAGTCTTCTTCCCGAATCGGATCAGGAACCACTGCCAGAATGGAATGGACAAAGTCCCAGAGAGCTAGAAATGAAATACCAAATAAGAGCATTAAGATATTTCACTTTTAAACAATTTCTAAGCACTGCGGGCAATGTGGGAACAGAAAAGGTCAGACTGACCGATGGGCTAAAAGGTCATGGTAGAAGGACACAATGTGAAAGGGACCTTTATTTAACCCTGCCGGGAGTAAATGACCTTTGACCTCTTACAGAGGGGTGGTCAACCTGTGTGTCAAATGCCCACACAAGGATTAGCGAGTGGCTGAGCAACTAGGACTATGAGAAATATCAAACAATTCATCAGTGCTGACCAAAACCAGCAGCATCTAAGGACCTAGCCTTGCATGTATGGCAGTTTGAGGAGTTGGCTAAAGCACAAACAGATCTGGTGACAGTGCTATTAAGGACCTTTCTAAACTCCCACATCTCCTGCTCCAGTGGCCAGGCCAGGCCAGGGCAGCTCTAGATCCTACTCAGGCAGGTAGAGAGGCGACGGTGCAGAATAGAGAAGCGAGGGAACGGCAAAGCGGAGAGAAAAGCCAAGGCGCCGTTCCCATGGCGGTGCTGACAGATCGCCTGGGCAACAAAGGCCCCTCTGTGCTCCTTTCTCTCGTCGATGGAGTGTGTGAGAGGGGGAAAGGTTCCCAGGGGCCACAACAACGCCTCCTCTCACCCTGAAAATGTGCCCTTTCATCCCCACGGCGACATGTCTCCTTGCGTGAGGAAAAAACAAAACAAAGCGGTCCTGGAAACACCATGGACCCCTAGACATTACTCTAACCCACAAGGTGACCTTTCAGTCAGCACAGGTCTTAATGTACAGAATGTGTGTTATGCCTCTAGTGGGAGGGTTGATTTTCTCAGAGAAAAATAGACTACACTCACCATAATGACCAGCAGAATATTCTGGAAGTCATTTCTGAAGCCAAGCGTGTAGGTGATGAACAGGGCAAAGTTCCCCTCCAGGAGCTGCCAGGAAGTAAACACACTGAACACACGGGAAGTAGGTCTAATATACATACAGAAAACCAAACGCCAGGGTTACACACCCTATAGCTAGTCATAAATAATTGTTTGGTTGTTTATATGTGTGTTTAACTGTAGCCCATTCTATGAGTGTGACTCACCATGAAGGCCAGCGATGTGAAGAGGAATCCCATGACCAGTTTGATATACGGCCCGTATCCCATCACCATCCTCATGCCTTCAAAGAACGACATGGGCTCCGTCTTCAGACGCCCACACTCTAGGATCAAAACAAAGATGGCGATTAAATCTAACTGATTAGGTGCACTGTGCCAAACATCAGCTGAAGAAGACTTATCTGATGTTCTTTCTTATCTCTCATCCATGGCATTTACAGACTGCCAAAATGTGGCCCTCTCCTAATTACTTGTAACAAAATAATTATTGGAACATTTGCGGGTTGAGAGAAAGTGGAAAAGTTTGCCTGTGGATAACAAGCAGAAAGCTTTCATACTCTAAATATGAGAAGAAACTATGTTTGAAGTATGTCATTGTAAAGATATTCTTATAAGAGACAATAAAATATAAAAAAAGTCAGTTAATAAATTCTCACCTTCCTGCTCTCTGACTCCCAGGAACAGGACTGCAGCACAGAGAACGTACATGGCACAGATGACTCCTGACGCGATGAGGTAGGCTTGTTTCTGTTAGGGGGACAGGAGGAGCAGGGTTAGGGTCAAATTCCACTTCTAACATTACTATAACAGTGTTATGCCATGTTATACAACATGCCATCTCTAGGGTCCCCCTCTCACCGTTTCATCCAGGGAGATGTGGGAGATGTTGAAGTCTGACCCCAGCAGTGTGGAGTTACCGTTGTCATGGACATCCAGGTCACCCGGGAGACAGGGGGCGATCGCCCCGCCCACAATCTGCCCCTGGATTGCTGTGCCAACCACTGTTCCCAGCACCTCCACTGTCATACCTGAACAAGAGAGTGGGATGAGGAGCGTGAGAAAGAGTAGAATGAAGACCTCACATTCCAACTATATGAGATGCTACAGAACCATAAAGATGTCCAGGTTGACATACGGTAGGCAGTGGCAGAGTCCCTCTCTTTCTGGTCCGTGCTGATGAACATGGTGAGTGCTGAGTACGGCACATGGAAGCACTGCACACAGAAAACAAATAATCAGCATTGCTGGCACAATAACCATATTACAGAAACAATCAATGGGGATTGAGTAACAATGTATTGTAACATGTGCCCCTTCTTATTAATAAAACAAGAGACTGTGTAGAGGAGAGACTGACCGTCTGCAGAGACTGGAAGAGGCAGTAGAAGACCAGATACCACAGCACCTTCCCCTGCTCCACCGGAGGGACATACCAGATCAGGAAGTAGGTGAGCACCGCAAACGGAGTAGAGATGAGGATCCTGAGGGAAAAACAGGAGTGGATCAATACAATGTAATGATGGATGAGCATTTAAAATGTGTGGGTGTTTGAGTAGGTCTATTTCATCTCTGTGACAGGAAAATTATAGTGATATATTATACAAACACAATTTACTACAGTATTGAAGAAGTTAATATTTATTTTCAACAATGATGATTTCCATGAGTCCCTGTCAGATGTAAGTTAGTGACACCTGTGTGACACCTGGTAGCGATGGCGGTAGTGGTAGCAAAGTTTGGGTCACTAACTGCATAGGGTTGAGATTTTTTTAAACGATGTAAAGTAACTAACTTGAACCCCCTCTCTTTCTCCTTTTCTTACACTCACACTCCCCTTTTCTTTCTTTCTTTGCATTGAAAGCAGGTCTTTGTGAATAATCCCTTAATCATCTGTTGTTTGGGGCTGTGTGTGGAGAATGGGCTCAGAATGGGCTTTGTGTGGCCTTTCTCTCTGCAATGTGCCACCTGGGAGACTGTGGTGGGCTGTCCTTACGGTGGCGCCATACTGACCCTGCCTCACTCTGTCCCTCACCCTACTCTCACTCCACAATACACCTGACCAGCAGACCAATCCACTCCAGCTAAAGTAGCAGAACAGCCATAGAACTATGGATCCACTACTGGGCTTCCAGCAGACAAGTTCACTCAAAAAATAGACGTCGGGGCATTGCTGGAAGGGTATTTTGGAGACAAGTATCTATTGACTAAGACATTTCTATGCCAGCAGGGCAGTGGGCGTTCGTCTCAGCCTCTCACTGGTCTCAGCAAAATACACAGTTGAGAACAGTGGTCACAGTAACATTACATGCTCATCTGCCAAGTGTTCTTATTACTACAACAGCATTAATACTGTACAACAATCTCTTTCTAAGAAGTAATGTTTCTTTCCATTCGTCCTCTGTGTTTGAGCCTACAGTCCCCAGGGGGCCTATCATCTCATTGAACTGAAAATGCGTGTTTGTTTATCTGACACGACATGTCAACCCCACTCACGCATGGCCAGTCAATGGGAGTGGCCAATCCTCTGTAAACAACATCCACTGAACTGGGGAAGCCCCATAGAAGCCACCTCTGTCTCCTTCCTTAGTCTACATGAGCTGACTGAATGGGGTTAATGAGAGTCAAGAGGCTGATCTGACTGGAAATAGAGGTCAGATATCTCCTTGATTGTCTGTGTTTTGTACACTGTCACTACGGTTGAATACACAAAGCTCACAGCATGAGCACAACGGCAGCCCCACACCAATAACCTTGAGGTGACGACATTGCTACACAACGACGTAGGCGAGACAAGAGAGGAAAAGGCTCAAGGTTTTATTTTGCAAACAGACTGGATCACCACCTGTCTGTGAGAAACAATGTGCTTCTTCAAGTTAGGTCAACATTGTCTTATCAGGATCATAATGCTTCAGTGAGAGACTATTAAAGTACTTATCAGAGTCCATTATGATAACATTGTGTTCTCTCTATTACAACAATGATCCTTTTGATGTAATTTTTGTGACATCCAATCTGATAAATGAATCACTCAGCTATCCATCTGTCTGGCAGGTGGCTACATGGAAGTAAAAGGAAGGATTTCTATTTTCTCTGTGTATTACATCAATATTCACATTCTAGAGAGGTCTAGAATTCCATAGGCTGTTTAGGACTAGGGAATACAATTTGGGGGAAAATATCTTCCACTAATAGTGCTAATTAAAAATGCTGGGGCATTCAGAAGGGAAAATAGCTTTAGTCAAGGTTTAGTTAAGTTATGCATCATTGACAGTGAAGAAGACATCTAAATCTCCTTGTCTGTGTTCAGGCTCTGATAAGAACACGCTGGGGGCTTTGTGGTGGTTTATACAGGCCAGAAAAAAGCACACACTGCCACCTAACAATGACCACATCGACATTCAGCCAATAATCTCCCCTCTACTTGACCTGCGGTAACCTCTCTCTGAATCAACCAGCCCCCTCCCCAACTGCCATTCTGGGATCACACACATGCACGCTTCTCAGGACCCCATTGGCCTAAATCTAGTGGTGTGTTGAGGGTTGGACCAATCAGAGAGGGAGAAGACGGTTTTCTCCCACCCCTTCTACACTTGCAGTTCAGGCACACCAGGCAGCCTACGTCACATGCCCAGGGCCTTAAGATATCAAGCGCATCCAGTTGTTACCACCATGAATAAACCTCCTTTATTGACTCCATTCCTAGCAAGTCACAGTATTATGCCAAATATTAATTTCAACCACAAAATGTCACTGTCTCCTTGTATCAGAGTATGTGAAAATATACAGTAGCATGTTAGATAAGTGGTCGCTATGTTCCCTCTGGTTTAAATAACTTGGGGTGCTACTGTGCGTAACCCTGCACAGGCCAAAGGATCAGTGTTTCTCTTGACCATATTGGGCCATATAGAGTTCCACATGGTCATATAGAGTTCCACATGGGCATATAAAATAGCCTGGTTAGCAGGGATAGGATGGTGTTAGAGTATTTAACAACATCAAGGTCATTGCTCTTTACAAAAAACTAGCACACAATGTTATATACCTCCCATTGTGGGTATCCCTACAACAAATGTCAAATAAACAGTTAAGAGATGATTGAAATGTCTGACTTATGCCATGAAATAGCGTTACCTATAAATAAGACAACGCTGGTGTTCTTCGATGTGAGGATGACTTTTGCTGTAGTGGCATTCTAGGATGTTGTACTCAGTCCAAAAGCACTCATTTTCTCTGCCGTTCCTGACCTATGTCACCCACCACTAGGCTTAATAGTCTCGCTTATGGCATCTGGGGCACAAGCAAAGAATTAGAGATCAATTTCTTTGGGCACAGGCTTCAAAGCACTCAGAGCCTTTGGTGGAAACGTGCAGTGCCAGCACAGAACTAAAAAGAGAAAAAGCACCTGGGCATTCCAGAACTAAATGAGGTCCACTGGAGCTAAATAAGACAGCCTTGTTCCAGTCTGTCCTGGTTTGCACCCAGATGAGAAGGTAAAAGCTATAACAAGCTAAGACAGAAAATGGCCAACAGCAGATAGAGATAGAGTAATAGAGTTGGTAGCGACTGAGGTAGAATAGAGAGCAAGTTAGGCATTTCACTGCGATTCAGTGACAGCCTGATCTCTCTATTCAATCTGTTCCACTTCATTGTCACGATTCCGCCCATATTTGAATTTCAACTACTATTTTCCCTCTAGTCGTGACGAGAGGTTTTGCGTTTGATTTTTCATTTATTTAATTTCCTCCCCTTTTGTTTTCATTTCCTCTTTCATTCCTGCCTGCTGTAAGATGTCTGCTGTGTGACCGAGGCGGAGGCACCTACCAGGGCATCATCCGGCCACACCGGGTCCATCTGCTCCGGCTCACCAGGAAGCCCACAGTTGGGTCGGTCACTGCATCCCAGGCCCGGCCCACAAACAAGATGATAGAGGCATAGAATGGGTCCAGCTATGGAGAGACATTAGGGGGGGGTAGAAAGAGAAATGATTTGTGTCATTGTCTGTCAGACCACTACAACCACTACAACCACAGACAACAGCCATCACCTCTCCTCACAAAGCAAGGAGTGACTATTGAAACAGAAATAAAAAAGAGCCATATCTCAGTTGGATTGCACCTTAGCAACAAGATGACTCTGTAAGACAACATTTCAAAAGTTGCCAAGGTCATGTTAGGACATGATACATGGCCAGGCCACATTGGCAACATTACCATCTGAACAATGTGGCGTTTAAGACCATTCCAATGAGCTCATTAGCTCTCTGGTTGAATGACTTGTTGTATTCAGTGACAGCACTACAGTGAGCACAGTGCACACAGTGCACAGTCTATCGCTTGCTAATTGAGTGACAAAGCAAAGCAGTGGGAGTCAGAATTAATGCGCTTCACTAGTTGAGTCATGCCAGAGGCTGTTAAAATGATACCAGCTCTTCGGCCTTGCCCTTAAAGACGTCTTCCTGTTACAGGAGGGGGTCGCAGTTCCGAAGCGATCCACTAGGTGTCCTCCTCCGACAACCTTAGGCAACTCCTCACTCACAGTCTGGACTAATCATGATCCTATTGGTGTCACCTGTGTCTACCTGTTCACCTGTGTATTTATGCCCTCACTTCCCTGTGTTCCCTTGCTCAGTTTTCTCTGCTAGTTTCTCTATGCTCAGCAGTACTAATAAGTGTCTGATCTGAGAAGTATGTACAGGTACTCGAGAAGTGTTTTCCCTGTTTCTTTATTATTTCAGTCATAGTTATTATTTCGTATTTTGGTTGTCAGCCTGTTTTTGGAGACTTATTTGCTCCACCTTTCTTTTATCATGTTAAGTCCGTTATTTTGTATCCTGGCTTCGGGACCACCAGTAAAGATCCTTGTTTCACCATCTCTGCCTACTGCCTACTGTCTATCCTGCACCGCACCTGGGTCACACCTCACACCAACCCTTACACTTCCAGTGATTTTTGAACTTTTCCTGTTGAAAAGCTTTATCCTAAGTATTAATACAGTACACACACTAAAGGGTAAAAAAATGTTTTGAGCATGTGTAGACAACTGCAAACTTCAAGGAGTATGGCATTCAAGGAGTTGGTCTGATAGTGACTTTGTGATGTCATCGGTTCCATCTGAATCCCATCTCACTCACCTGGGCCACATCCAGCAGGTAGATCTGGAGAAAGAAGCCCAGAGCGCTGCCTGTGATCTGGTAGGGAGCCCCTCCGATGGCATAGCACAACTTACTGCACACTGACAGACGACCGCTGTCATCCCTCCGCTGGGAAATAGGGAGAGAAGACGCACATAGCATGACGATAGGACACAATGTTTTGTTATACACTAAATACAGATGTAAAAAAATATATATATATTGCGAAAGCACTTTTATGGGTTGCTAATGATGCACAGTTTAGGTGTGTTGTGATACAGGCTCTTTGTATGTCTATATCCAACTCGACCTTTGTATTACAAACTGACAAAATGTTGGCCGCATCACTTGGGTATGAGCATCACTTCTTTGATCATGTATAATTTCTCTGTTCATTGCTTGATTGCTTGCTCAGTTGAGTTAAACACACATCTGGCCAATCTCACCCACTTGGCGCTTTGAGTCTCCAGCTTATTTCTGAGACTTCTGGCCCAACAGCGGCCAGTAAAACAACGTCTCATTGTGAGCCCAAGATTGGCCAACGCTCCTCACCCCACCGCTGAATGTCAGATTAGCACTAAATCCCTCTGACTATGCAGTCTGGGCCACTACGAGTTTAGAAAGTGGTGTGAGACTGGGAGGTCACTGTAGTTCAGCCACTGTACAACTCCGCCTGGTGCCGGAGGCAGCAATTGGCTCTGGCTATGGGATGATCAGGCATTCCGAGATTCCATCAGTGGCCTGAGCTGAGGGCACCAGCATTCAGCGGACAGTCAAGAGTGCACACACCCCCATTCTTCCAATCACAAACACATCCTGCTGGTCAATGAGTAAATACACCCAGTCCAACAGCCAATCAATGTAAAGAACATCTAGTCAGTCTGACACCATCCGTTCTGTCACAGTGTTGAGAGCAGACACCTGATTTTACATGACCTATCCTCTGACCTATTCATGGTACTTTCCCTGGTGAAATATACCCCCATAGAACAGGAATTATGTCCCATATTGCCTTCAGGAATGCAGCCTAAAGACATGTGTAGGACAAATTGTATGGAAAATCCCATATAACAGTGACACCTCTACAATGGTGTTGAGGTGACACACATTGCACCTCCCTGACAGGCAGAATGAAGGGTGAATAGCCTTTGAGCTCCTCAGGCAGCTGAGACTGGCCTGGGACTGGACAGAAGGTTAAACCTGAAGAAGCAAGTCCAGCACTAGGGACAAAACGAAACACTACACACTGGCAATCACACTGGGAATAAACCTGGTACAAGGAAATCCAGAATTATTTTCTGTGTGACAGCACATCACTTAGCCCCATAGAGACATGCAGTATATTACTGGACATCAGTAAAACATAATGCCAGTGAACATGAGTAAAACGTACAGACGTCTTTAAAAAAAAACATTTTATTCATTAATTAATCGCTCATATCCAGAGCGAATTACAGTAGTGAGTGCAAACATTTCCGTATTGGTCCCGCGTGGGAATCGAACCCACAACCATGGCGAAACATTATTCTTCAGTCAAAATCTAATGCATAGCTAAAACCGGTAAAGTTTTTTTCTCTGAACAGCTCCACCAAGACAGATGGTGTAGCGTGGTGAAAATCAAGCCCCATCGATGAAGCTCGAGAATATTTGGTGTGATGATGTCCATTTATGTCATCTATGGTTTAGCCACAATTAATTACACCATTATAAGCCACTCATTGTTAATGTCTATCCCATGAAGGCTATTTGGCGCTTGAAATAGGACTGAAATATAAGTAATTTCAATAGCCTATAATGGCATCGCATGCCTTCCTGCCAATTAGGACAACAACGGTCTCATTGGGAAAACCCTTAATTTCGCTGTTTCTTTATAGCGTAGCTATATCAAACCCGCCTCAATTTTATCCTGTTTCAGTGTTAAAATGTTGAAGTGAATTTGTGTGCATTGAAAACTATTATAATAACGCCTATGGCTACAATATAGACTACCCATATCCCTCCATGTGCTGCAAATTAATAGATTGCTGGTCAAATAATAATTTGCTCATATCTATAGCCTACATGAAGATAATATATTATGCTACAAATGAATAGGCCTAAAATTATCGTACTTACCTTGGCAATTTTGATTCCATCTTGACTTATTGGTTTTGTTGGTAATAGACTTGCCGCGGCATATTGCTCCGCGTCCTCTCCTTTTACCATATCGTTTTAAATCGATAAATTATTTTAAAAAGCCTTTGCTGTTTCTATTCTCCTCACTGAATATTGGAAACCGCGCGAGAACCTAAGTAGCCGTTTGAGCTCTGAGTCCCACACTCAATTTGGTACGCTGGTGTCCTTGGCTTGACATATAGTTGGATACAGCGAGTCTTTGCCCTCCATCGCTCATTCATTGACGCTCTCCAATACTATGCACCCGACGTCATGTTAACCCTTTCATGGACAAATATGTTGACGTGGCTGTACTTGGCCAATGGAATTCAATGCAAGGTAGCCTGCCTACAGTAAAGAAAACATTGCATTTCAACTATATATTGGCAGACATATTTTTTGAGTGTAACTTCTATCGTAACTCATAAGATTATATACAACCAAGATGAGCATGTGAGTGCGTGATGTGAAGGTAACGTCACCTCATTTACCTGTCACCTTGAATTTCTTTAGGAATCCTGATGAGCCCAGTGTTGCCAACTCCTCAGTAAGGAAAGTCGCTAGATGTTGCATAATTGGCCATGTGCATGTAATTGTGATGGATGCTGTAGGAGAGAGGAATAACGTTGTGGGAGAGACAAACAGTGAGTAAAAAACACCCTACATTTACATCCCGCCCTGAATGTAAGCCAGGGCGGGATCAGCCAGCGGTGGCTTCCCGCATGCGCGATTCATTTGCAGTCTGGATGTGGAGGGGTGAACATCTCCTGTTCTGACTGCAGCTGGGAGGGATTGCTGCGCGAGGACTGGGCCGCATGGGAGTGCTTTGGGACGGGGTAACAAAGCACTCGCTGCTCGTTGAGAAGAGTAAGAACGATACGTGCTTTCATGTCATAGTCTCCAAAAGTCTCCAATAACACCAGAAAAAGTCGCTAGATTTGTCGCTAGTCGCTTTTTTGAAAATGTGTTGCTAGAGGGGTCTGAACTCGCTAAATATAGCGACAAAGTTGCTAAATTGGCAACACTGGATGAGCCAGCCCATTTTCACCAGACGTGGAGTCGGCAGAAGGTCCGCCCCCATTCATTTTCAATGAGGGCACGCAGAGAAATGTGCGGGGGATTGTGGGAACGTGGGCGGCAACACACCTGTTAGCAGAGCGGTAAAAAAAAAAAAGTTATGCTTTGAACACACCAACTGTGTTTTGCGCTAAATAGTATGCAGCATCATCTAGATGTGTGCAACAAAAGTTAAACATTCAACTTCTGCTACCATTTCTGTCAACCCGTTTACACATACAGTTTGACGCATACGTTCGATAAATCCAATGTATGCACCATACAGAACGCACTGCAACTGCCTCTGCAACGCAATGCCGCAAGGCAAACGCAGCGTTCCATTGGAAATGAATGTACTTCTGGTGTACCAAAACGTGTTCGTAGTGTTAAGCTCTGCTCAACTTTATGGAAATGTCATGTGGCCAATCAGGTGAGGAGCAGATGTTTGCTTGAAAATCTTCATGAAACATACCCATTTCAAGACCGAAGATATATGCCATTTATATGGCATATATGGTATGTTACCTGTAAAAAAAAATGTAAGGAAATATTTATATGACCCCCCCATCTCTTTGGTCTTGGCCATAGTGGAGTTTGGAGTGTGACTGTTTGAGGTTGTGGACAGGTGTCTTTTATACTGATAACAAGTTCAAACAGGTGCCATTAATACAGGTAACGAGTGGAGGACAGAGGAGCCTCTTAAAGAAGTTACAGGTCTGTGAGAGCCAGAAATTTTGCTTGTTTGTAGGTGACCAAATACTTATTTTCCACCATCATTTGCAAATAAATTCATTAAAAATCCTACAATGTGATTTTCTGGATTTTTTCCCCTCCATTTGTCTGTCATAGTTGACGTGTACCTATGATGAAAATTACAGGCCTCTCTCATCTTTTTAAGTGGGAGAACTTGCACAATTGGTGGCTGACTAAATACTTTTTTCCCCCACTGTATACATCTGCCTCTTCATTGGACACTGTTAACAAACCTCCAAACGAGCTTCAATGCCATACAACACTCCTTCCGTGGCCTCCAACTGCTCTTAAACGCTAGTAAAACTAAATGCATGCTCTTCAATCGAACGCTTCTTGCACCCGCTCGCCCGCCCAACTAGAATCACTACTCTCGGCAGGTCTGACTTAGAATATGTGGACAACTACAAATACCTAGGTGTCTGGTTAGACCGTAAACTCTCCTTCCAGACTCACATTAAGCATCTCCCATCCAAAGTTAAATCTAGAATCGGCTTCCTATTTCATGCTGCCAAACATGCCCTCGTAAAACTGACTATCTTACCGATCCTTGACTTCGGCGATGTCATTTACAAAATAGCCTCCAACACTCTACTCAGCAAATTGGATGTAGTCTATCACAGTGCCATCCGTTTTGTCACCAAAGCCCCATAAACTACCCACCATTGTGACCTGTACGCTCTCGTTGGCTGGCCCTTACTACATATTCGTCGCCAAACCCACTGGCTCCAGGTCATCTATAAATCACTTCTAGGCAACTCACCGGTCATCCCCAAAGCCAACACCTCCTTTGGCCGCCATTCCTTCCAGTTCTCTGCTGCAAGTGACTGGAACGAACTGCAAAAAGCTGGAGACACTTATCTCTCTCACAAACTTTAAGCATCAGTTGTCAGAGCAGCTTACTGATCACTGCACCTGTACACAGCCCATCTGTAATTAGCCCACCCAACTACCTCATCCCCATATTGTTATTTATTTTGCTCATTTGCACCCCAGTATCTCTATTTGCACATCTATCACGCCAGTGTTAATACTAAATTGTAATTATTTTGTACTATGGCCTATTTATTGCCTTACCTCCATAACTTACTACATTTGCACACACTGTATATAGATTTTCTATTGTGTTATTGACTGTACGTTTTGTTTATTCCATATGTAACTCTGTGTTGTTGTTTTTATCGCACTGTTTTGCTATATCTTGGCCAGGTCGCAGTTGTAAATGAGAACTTGTTCTCAACTGGCTTACCTGGTTAAATAAAGGTAAAATAAAAATGCACATGAATGGGTACTTTGGGTAAAGGAAATTGTTGCTTTGACTCTCTTCACCCACCATCGACACCACCAATCTCTGCAACCCTCCTCCATGCCATTGACTTTCTGATTTTGTCTGTGTATTCTAAAATCATTCTCAGTAAATAAACAAGTTAAAATTACAATGCTCCCCCCGCCCCATTATTTTCCTTTTTTTAACATTTTAATTACCCTATACATTGTCAGCTTCTTATTTTCATGTACTGTACTGTACCTACTATACAAGGGTTGGATATGCACTAAACAATTTTATATGTCAGAAAAAGTAATGTAGAAAATTATAGTTAACCTCATATACAATTGAGAACATATAGTTAATTCAACAATAAGCAAACAATGTGTGACAAGGGTGCATTGCACATGCCCATAAGGCCACTACTGCCATTGTAGTGATGTCATGTAATGTATATTTGAGTGTTTCAGTGAAACGTAAGTGAGGGAGGCCCCGCTCTCTCGCTTTCCCAGATATTTAGTTAATTTCATTCCGATCTCCTTTGCATTATTGTAGCCTTTTCTGTAGCCTGTCAACTATGTGTCTGTCTATCCCTGTTCTCTCCTCTCTGCACAGGCCATACAAATGCTTCACACCGCGTGGCTGCTGCCACTCTAATCTGGTGGTCCCTGCGCGCACGACCCACCTGGAGTTCCAGGTCTCCGGCAGCCTCTGGAACTGCCGTTCTGCGGCCAACAAGGCAGAGTTCATTTCAGCCTATGCTACCCTCCAGTCCCTCGACTTCTTGGCGCTGAAGGAAACATGGATTACCACAGAAAACACTGCTACTCCTACTGCTCTTTCCTCGTCTGATCATGTGTTCTCGCATACCCGAGAGCATCTGGTCAGCGCGGCGGTGGCACAGGAATCCTCATCTCTCCCAAGTGGACATTCTCTCTTTTCCCCCTGACCCATCTGTCTATCTCCACATTTGAATTCCATGCTGTCACAGTCACTAGCCCATTCAAGCTTAACATCCTTATCATTTATCGCCCTCCAGGTTCCCTTGGAGAGTTCATCAATGAGCTTGACGCCTTGATAAGTTCCTTTCCTGAGAATGGCTCAGCCCTCACAGTTCTGGGTGACTTTAACCTCCCTACGTCTGCCTTTGGCTCATTTCTCTCTGCCTCCTTCTTTCCACTCCTTTCCTCTTTTGACCTCACCCTCTCACCGTCCCCCCCCTACTCACAAGGCAGGCAATACGCTTGACCTCATCTTTACTAGATTCTGTTCTTCTACTAATCTCACTGCAACTCCCCTCCAAGTCTCCGACCACTACTTTGTATCCTTTTCTCTCTCACTCTCCTCCGACACTACTCACTCTGCCCCTACTCAGATGGTAATGTGCCGTCGCAACCTTCGCTCTCTCTCTCCAGCTACTCTCTCCTCTTCCATCCTATCATCTCTTCCCTCTGCTAAATCTTTCTCCCTCTGATCTCCTGATTCTGCCTCCTCAACCCTCCTCTCCTCCCTTTCTGCATCTTTTGACTCTCTATGTCCCCTATCCTCCCGGCCGGCTCGGTCCTCCCCTCCTGCTCCGTGGCTTGATGACTCATTGCGAGCTCACAGAACAGGGCTCCGGGCAGCCGAGCGGAAATGGAGGAAAACTAGACTCCCTGCGGACCTGTCATCTTTACACTCCCTCTTCTCTTCATTCTCTTCCTCTGTTTCTGCTGCTAAAGCCACTTTCTACCACTCTAATTTTCAAGCCTCTGCCTCTAACCCTAGGAAGATCTTTGCCACCTTCTCCTCCTTGCTGAATCCTCCTCCTCCTCCCCCGTCCTCCTCCCTCTCTGTGGATGACTTCGTCAACCATTTTGAAAAGAAGTTTGACGACATCCGATCCTCATTTATTAAGTCAAATGACACCGCTGGTCCTGCTCACACTGCCCTACCCTATGCTTTGACTTCTTTCTTCCCTCTCTCTCCAGATGAAATCTTGTGACTTGTGACGGCTGGCCGCCCAACAACCTGCCCGCTTGACCCTATCCCCTCCTCTCTTCTCCAGACCATTTCCGGAGACCTTCTCCCTTACCTCACCTCGCTCATCAACTCATCCTTGACCGCTGGCTATGTCCTTTCCGT